CATGGTATATAAAAACATTTCTGACATATATAAATCTGGGGAGTTTAAGACTTACGATAACTTTGTTTCATTAGTTGCAAAATGTGTTTGGGAAATAAGAGATAAAGATAGAAGAGGCAAAGTATGGAACGAACAAATAAGACCCGCTATGTTTGAGATGAAGAAAACCATTGACGCTTTAGTTGTTCTAAGCAAGGTAAGGTTTCAGAATATAACGCAAAAATGAACCCACAATGTTCAAAATGTAAAGCAGCAATGAGGAAATATAACTACTCCGTCAAAGAGATAGAAAGAATGCGAAACGACTATGCAGACTTAAAGAAAGAAGCAGAAAAGCCAGCAGAAAATAAAATGAACATGTTAGAATTTCTTAATAAAAATTATCCAACAGCAGAAGATTTCCTTCTATCTGACGTCAAGAAGAAGTATAAAGAAACTTTCGGCATTGTTAAAACATTCGATGTACTGACAGAAGAAATAGAAGCTACGAAATTGTTTAGAATTTCAAATATACATCGTACAATTCATGTAAAACGCTTGTGAAAAACTGGGGTGAGAAAAGAGGTGAAAAAACAGGTGATATCTCACCTAGCCGCTTTGCGGCTCTGACCCTTTGGGTCTCTTCACCTAAATTATATTTTTGGTGAATTCAATAAAAATAAATGGTTCATTTACTCACAATATTTTTGTACAAAACGACCCCAAACTTTTAACTTCTTTTCTGCAGCTTCAAATGCTATCTTAGCGAGTTCATATTCTCTAAATTCTCTCTTTAAATCTTCTTGTTCCCATTGGTCTAGTTCGTATGGAGAATCTCTATAACCATAATATATCTCACGTTCATGTTCTAATTGTTTTTCGCACATTTTTCCAACTTCTTCTTCGAACAAAGGTTTAGCATTCTCCACTGTATCTTCGAGTTCTTCTTCATCTAACTTCTCATGAACTTTCTTGTCTATGGAGTCCATAATATCTTTGACATAAAATGCATACTTTACAGAGCACCATTCAGCAACAAAATGAACGAGGTCAGGATGTATGTAAATACCTTTGAATTCATTCATAACGCCCTTAGTAAGCTCATAAAATGCTTGTTTTGAGGTCGAGCCACTTTTGGCTCCACCGTATTCGTTCATCCAAAACTCAAGAATTTCCTGCATTTTAGTACTATTGAGAAATCTGTTTAAATGGTTTAACCTTCCCGCTTCTCTTGCCATCTTTGTTGCATTAATGTAACCATCCTTGTCTCTACGTAAGACTTCAATACCGTTATAAGTGCCTTTTGTGAATGTTTCACCATTAGATTTGTTCGTGAACGTCTGTGCTTCGACTGACATTTCTGTTCTTACATACAAAATAAAAAAATAAATAAAAATAAAACTAATTTTATTTTTTATTTCGGGAAAATTCATGAAAATTCATGAGGTGAGAAAAGAGGTGAGAAAACAGGTGAGATTTCACCACTTCACCTATAATATATTCATGTCTGATTTACATCTAATGAAAAAGTTTAGAAGAATTTTCTTATTCTTTCTGGCATGTTTTTATCTTTCCAGTACTCCCGCTCTAATGGTCCCAGATGAGTTGGTTTAGATTCTCTCAAGTTCTTAGATGGTATAACATCTTCAACGCCTCCTTCATATCTTACTTTATAAGTGTCATCGTTTATGTTGTAGTCAAGTATTTCAATAACCACTCCTCGCTTTGCTTCGTCAATGGTTTCAGCAAGTTTGCCATTACTACTTTCGACTAATTTATGAGGGTAAAATGCTATGGAGTCGTCAGCAGCTTTTATAAGATATCCATTACCTTGCGTAGAGTCTACGATATAATAATTTCGACTTAACCTTAAACGTTTCTTTGTCAATTGGTTTGTCGTCAAGAACTACACGAACTTTTGTTCCAGGAATGAGAGTAAATTGTGTTGAATTTCTGATATTTGTTTTTGTTTGACTTCGTTTCTTTTGTATATACTTTTCTCTTCTTGTTGTTTGTCATTGAATTTGGTGTATGTCCTGTTGTAGAATGTGTTGAGGAATTATATACTTCGAGAAAATGTTTCATTGTTTCTTCGGTAAAGTCTCGCTCTTGATTTAAATCTCTGAGAGTCCTTATGAAGCGGTTAATGATACCGAGTATGTTATGGTTATGGTCTTCAGTAGTGTAGTGAGTTATGTTATGCTTAATGAGAAATTCTGTGATTTCGTTGCTGAGGTATGCACCGTCTTGGTCTGATGTTAAAGTACTTGGGCTATGTTCTGCTACAAACTTTTGTAAAACTCTTAACACTTCATGAGCCTTTATTTCTCATTATATACGCATATGCTTTACGAGTGTTAACATTAATGAAGATGAGGAATGGTTTATGTCCTCCTTTTCTGCTTTGAATGAGAGTGTCAAATTGGTATGCGTCAGGAGTGTTGGAGTAAATTGGTAAAAAGTAGTCGTAAGGATTTATTTTTGTTTGATGTACAACATTTTTGTCAAAGAACCTTTTCACTTCAGCTCTGTTAGTAAATCCCGAACTCTTTGCAGCTTCATTGAACTTCTTAAATGAATGCCTCCATGGTGTTGTTCGAATACTTCTTTCAAGCTCATTTATGTAAAGTTAAAGATTTTAACCAACTCGTATCCAAGCGTGCATTGTTATATAAGGAGGCATATAATCTTTTCCATTACCTGCTGGTCTGTAATACCAGCTACAACATGTGTATGATTTCCTGCAGTTCCACAGAAAATACCTGCGCTTGAATCTACTGGGTCAGTTGAAATATCATATCTATGCATTCCCTGTCTATCGAACCCGCTGCAAGATTTGTATAACCTCTTTTGTTATTGAATGTGAATGGTTTCCTTCCACAGATGTTCTTCCACTGAACCTATGCATATGTGAAGGAAGGTTTTCAATACCTATTTTCTTTGAACCTCCCATCTTCATTGACTGCGTATTAGTGTAGAATGGAAAACTGTCAACTATTTCATACCATCTACCACCAAATAAAGTGTTTGGATTTATTGGATTCATAGACGTATAAACAGCTCCTATAGGATATATTAAATCATATATGCTCATAACTCTATAAACATATTCTAAAGAACTTATGTCATTAAATACCATTTGGAATGTATCTCCCGGATGAAATGTTGCATTTGTTCCACTTTTATAATGTAATGTTAGTTCAATAGAATTATCCAAGAAAAATTCAAAAGTATCTGGTTGAAGACCTCTAACAAATTCAAATGGAGTTGCTGGTTCACCATTTATAATTTCTGTTGTAAATGTCATTGTATCTGGTTTCGAAAATTTCTTTGTTAGTTCTGCATCCACATAAGTTTTATCTGCTTTCTTATCTAACATTGCTGGTAGTTCATGTGCTTCAAAGTTTCTGGCATGACCTTCGATATTCATACATTTGTTATTTAAGGAGTTTAGTGTATCTTTTACGCTTGTACTTGGATTTTCTAATGGTGCACTTGAACCAAGGGTATAGTTCAATATTATGTCGTCTGCTCTAACAGTAGTGAAGGAGTTATGTGTATGGTTCTTGTCAGCTTTACTGTCTAAAGAAGTTTGAAGTTCATTTATATCGGAGATGTTGTGTTTATGAGATTTCAAAACTTTGTTCATTGCGTCAAGTTCATCTTTGTCAGCTTTACTTTTAATAGCATCTTCAAACGTTATTTTTGACTTAACTCTCAAAGTAAATCTTGGTTCAACTAATACACCATTAACAGAGAAAGTAGAGGCATAAATTTCATCGTTATAACTAAATGCTTCTGGTGCTTTAGCTACATCATACTGTACAGTACAGCTTATGTCATAACCTTTAGCACGAATGTATTTATATCTTCTTTCATTAACATTTTTTGTCTTCGCTTCATCACTTCGTGTTAAATATCCATGGTAGTCCGTTATAATCTGTTCGTCTGAAGTTATATAATGAACATGGTTTTTATCTGCTTTTTCGGCTAATTTCTCATTAACATCATTCACTTCTAATTCAACTCTTCCGCCAGAACTCTTATTATCATTAATCTTTTTCATTAATTCGGTAATTACGTCATAAAGACTATATTCTGTTTTCGGTTTTGTAAATAATGAGTCAAAATTTCTTTTCATCATTACATCGCTGACATTAATGATATCACCAATTCCTTTTTCATTTATTCTCTTCATTAATTCTGCAATAATGACGAATATATAATCTGTTAATTTATTCTCTTCATCGAGGGTTATAGAATGTTTTGAAATTGAATCATTAACTCCTCTAAATAAATCAATAACTTCAGGATACACGTTTTTAATGTCTTGAATAACCCGACCAGTATCCTCGCCACTATGTGGCTCTGAGCCCGTTGGGCTCTGTTGTTCATGTTCTTCGTTCCCGTCGTTACGTGGTTTTATATCTCTAACCATCATCAACGCAGCCATAACCGGAGGGTTTGTTGCTACCTGTTCGAAAATCCGTCCGTTATGTATGGTATATCTAAATAATTTCTTTGTGTTTGTTAAAACATTTGAAACAAGTCTTTTAAAACCATCTACAAAATTTCCTGTTTCACCTAATGTTCTTGCAGCATTTACAAGCTCACCCATTCCCGCTTTTGACCCCAAAAACGTCCATATTGCATTTATTTCACTCTGTATAGTTGTCCATTCAGCGAAACTAACACCCGCATTCGCTAAGCTGAAAATGAAATTCAGTGGATCGAACTTAATTCCACCTTCTTTTTCAATTTCAACGAACTCACTAACATGAGATTTTAAATATTCTTTCGTTAAAATTGTTTTCCCCGATGTTATGTCATTAACGAAACTATCACCGTCAAAAGTTAACGAATTCAATTTCGTCGTTGATGCTTTTATTTCATACACCGCTTTATCGATAGTTTTTGGCTCACCTTCTTTAGAAGCATATGAAACATTAATGAATGAATTATATGTATTCGTGAATGAATTAAAATCAATGATTTTCATTAATGACGCCTTTAATGATTCATTAACTGTTGAATCCCTTAAAACAATTAATGAACTGTCATGGGCTTCGCCCTGGTCGCTTCGGTCTGAAAGACCTTCAGGACTCAAAGAGTCCGTTTGCGACTTTATGAAAGGTACACTGCAAACCGTCGAGTTTGGATCAAATGCTGTAGTTGGTGCAGGAATATTAATGATATAAGTCATTAAATCATTAAGTGACGTAAATAATGTTGTCGTTTTTGATTTAATTTCTTTAGCATCTGTTATATATGGTAATTTTATTTCTGTAGTTTCTGAATTAAAGATATTCGCTAAAATGTTTTGTAAACTGTTTTGAACAGCTGTGTAAACCGTTGAATTCGGAACTCTTACGATTTCACCATCCTTAATAAAAGGCATTGTACATGACGTAGTGCTTGGGTCAAATCTTTCGGGATTATAATTCAACATATATTCTAACGCTTCATATACAGACCTATAAACAGTTGTGTCGTTCTTCATGACAACTTCACCATTTACAATGAATGGCATAGTGCATGGAGTTAAAATAGGGTCAAACTTTTCATAGTCCTTCCATGTTATGTATTTCTCGGTATTTCCATCAGAAATAACAATATATTTGTCAGTAAGTGTGAGAGAGTATTGACCAAAATATAAACGTTTAGCTCTGTCAGCTTCATACGCATATGCAGCAATACTCATATTTTAATGAGAATAAAATGTTGTTCTATTTGCAAAGTACAGACCCAAACGAATACGGGACAGTAAAGCTACAAACAAACTTAGGTCTTCAGAATGAAGCGCTTGCTTTCAGAGTTGTTGACTTCAATACTATCGCTTCATTCGTTATAACAGATGAAACAGATTTCATGGAGCTTGAAATAGATGGAAAGAAGCACGAAATAAGATTTCACAATAATGTAGAATATAAGATGGAAACATTAGCTGGAGTGTTAAATGCGCTCATAAATACTACAATAAACAAGGAGAACGAAGAAAACTTAATGAATGTTAAACTTATTGCAGGAGTTTTGAAGTTCAGTTATGCGAAGGAGTTTAAGATAACACGAATGAGTCATAGAGTTCAATTGCTTCTGGGAGCATACCATATGACATGTCCTTTGAAAAGTGTTGACAAAACGATTGAGATGAAATCTGTTCCATACGTATGTTATGGTAATTGTTTATACGTTGAGTCAAAAATAGCTAATGTCACAGGTATTTCAGGAGTTAATAGTAAAGGTTCAGTAGAATATAAATCCTTCTGTTATGCAGTCAATTCAATGTTCATTCCAAACGTTCCTGTCATAGTAACTCATTTAGGTAAATGGGTTCGCATTAGTCCTCATAATTTGAAAGACATGCAATTCAGACTTGTTGACTTTCAAGGAGAGCCTGTAGAACTGAAGGCACCAGTGCGAATGACTGTTGAAGTTGACTTTTTAGAAAATATTAAATGCAACAGCTTACAAGAGAACTCAGAGCTAAAAATATAAAGTATGAATGTTATGTATTAGGTCATGAACTTTGGTTATTGCTGTTTGATGAAACAAATGAGTTAGTTATGTCAGTCAAGAGAACAGAAAAAGGCGTCAAAGGCGCCGAGCGCAAAGCGCTATATTGTGTTAGTGAAAACTGCACCAAGTCAATAAGATTAGGTTTGCATTATGAAGATGAGTTCGATACTGTTGAAGAAGTTTTGGATAGATATTACAAATTGCTTTAATTTACTAAAACATATTTCAAACAAAGCTTATATTCTGTTGAAAGTTTTGTATACTCGTTCGAATATTTATACTTAAACTCAACTCCTGTAGTTCCTGGTGTTTCAATGATGCGGATGTTACCTATTTTCATGAATGGTGGCGTTTGACCACAGCATTCGATTTCAGGGTCGAGATAGTCAATGACACATTGTTTCCCTGTTATTCGTGATATAACATTTTCAAGGTCCTCCTTTGTTAGAATTATTTGGTTCTTGCTTATAAGATTTGTCAAAAGCTTCTTATCGTCTTTGAGTAAAATTGTTTGGTATAACTGAAGAAGGTAATGGTCTACGTTATCTGAAGGATTTGTTTGAACATTTGTGTAAGGGTTGTCGTTGGCTTCTCTTGAAAGAATTTGGTCCAGTGGTGGATACTCTAACTTAACATCTGATGTAGCGTTAGCGTTTGAAGCTGAGTTTAAATTCACGGATTTCAGTTCTGGTTCTTTTTCTTTCAAACACTCTGAACTATAGTTCTTTATGACAATATTGTTTGTCGTTCGTGAGTCAACATTTGATGTTGGTTCAATTGGAACATTAACGGCACCAGCTAAGATGGATTTGCTTCTCATTTCATATAGAATAAAAACCTTTTATATGTATGAAATGAACAATATACTCGACAAGGGTTTGAATGTAAAGCTAACGAATGAAAATATTGTTGAATTCACTGAGACAGGTGCTGTGTATAAAGATGTAGAACTACTGAACAAAAGAGCTAAGGGAAGAAGCAGGAACATGAACAAAGGGTGGAAGCCTATAAAAATTTATGTCAATGATGGCTCAGGAGGTTCAAACATAAAGTATGCAGAAAGTTATAGAGTTTATGCTCTCAAAGGTGAAAAGCCTTCATTTAAGAACAGCTATTCTAACGCATATCCTCAAAAGCTAACGGATGGAAGTGGATGATATGAATGACAGCAAAAATATTAACAGAAATGGCGACAGAGATGCATGGAATTTGTTTACCATCAGTCAATTGAAGGTTAAACTTTAAAACAATGTTGGTCGTTCCCATGGAATATTTTTGACTTTAATGGTATTAGTCATGATATGAATCTCAAGGTATGAACGAGGAGAGATGAGAGACTTATATGCTTCCCAAATTTCTTCAAAAGGTAATGTTATACCTGACTGTTTCCAAATGAGTTCAATATCATAACGTGAGAAACCTTGAAAGATAACGAAGTCAGTTATGAGACGTTTTATGTTTAAAGCAAGAAAACGCCATGTTTGCATAAGTATTGCTACAGTTAAGTGGTAATGTCTGACTTTAGTAATGATGTTAGCTAATGGTGAGTCAGGCTTTGACACTAAACCTTTTCCGGCGAAGTCGTCGCAAACGAGCAGAGTATTTGAAGGATACTTTTTGAAGGGGTATTTTGAAAGTTTTTGACAGAATGTAGTTTGTAAGTCGTTTCATATCGTAAACTCCTGAGTATTGACGTAAGTGGTGTTTGTCAATAATTCTTTCCATCTCTTCTGAAGTTTTTGCATTCCTGACTGTATAAATTCAACGATGGCATAATATTTCCTCTTACGTCGAACGTAACGTTGAAGAAATTCAATGAGTTCGCTATCTGGAACTTTAACGACAGATGCTTGAACTTTTGACATAAATGTTTTCGCTGTTGAGTCCATAGAGTCTGAAGTTGCTGATATAATGATTTGGTCATAATATGAATCTTGACCTAAACGCTCTGTTATGAGTATATGACGAATGAGGTTAAATGTCTTACCTGAACCCATCTTTCCACAATAGAAATACACACCATTTGAACAGAATCATAATCTTTGCTGAAAGGAAGAATGAGAGAAGAGTTAAGTTTGTCTGTAGTTTCATTCATGTCTTCATCTACGTCATGTATTAAATGCTTCATTTTATCTCCATTAAAAATGCAAGTCAGAAATATTCAGAACATAGCACCGAGTCTAACTGACAAGAGTATAAAGATATACTATGAACACGTTATGATGAAACCAACCAAAATTCAAGAAAGTCAGTATACTTATGAATATCCAAGACACTGGGTAGAGTATGTAGGAGGTGAGAAAGCTATTGAAATCAGACAGGTTCGAAGTATTCCAGCAGGAAGGACAATATTATTGAAGAACTTTAATGTTTTGAGGTATAATGATGAAACAAAGAAGCAAGATAGTTTTCCCATTGCTGTGTATGTGAACCTAGACACAGGAGATGACATGAAAGTTTTTAACACAAAGCTTCAAACGGTAGTGAGAGAACAACTTACTGCGGAAGGGCATCCATTACCTTCAGAAGTTACCATAGCATATAATTTTGAAACAAACTCAATAGATTTTAAAGTCATCTCTGCAAAGAAGTCAGGTTTTACATTTAATGAAGCAGATGTATATTCGAATGAAAACTTCAAAGCTATTGCATGGTTAGATAATGACGATTGCTTTAAGAAAATATTTAAATTCAGTGACTCAACGATGTCAATAGATGACCTTCGTGGAATGTTACCATCGATGTTTACAGTAGAAGGTTTCAGCAGGATTGCTTACAAGATTGTCAATTGGTGGTATTTGGTCTCGTGAGAACATTGTTATAAAATCCAGTATAAGTGAATTTGCTGAAGAATCTATATTTGTCTTTCAAACTACATGTATTCGCCACCGAAGCATTATAGTATAACAAACTTTGTCAGTAAGTTTAACATAAGACTTGTCGAACCTTCTTCAATGAAAGATGTTGTGCTATCTAAAGATGGAAAGGATGGACTCATTATTGAGATGATTTTAATTGCATATTAAATGAGCTTGTTCTTGAAGGTCAGTCATGATGAAATAACTGTTGTAGAAGATGTTAGCAATTGTTCAGACATTTTGAAGCGAATAGATGAGATAAGAAAGAAGTTAGATAGACCGCAAAGCGGTGAGGGCGAAGCCCGTGAGAATGTTTATGTTTCATTGACTTTCTCCAGTAACGAGAACTTTTATGAGATAATATTGAAGAGAGATGATTTTAATATGGTGTAAATGGTAGCTTGGGCAGCTTTAGGCGCAATGGGAACAAAAGCATTAGCATTTGGAGCAAAAGCACTTGGAGCTTATGACGCAGTAAATAAAATGAGTGGAGGAAGGGTTTCGAAGACATTAGATGCAAATAAAGGGAAGATTGGAGGCTGGGTTGCAAAGAAGTTAAGATTAAATAAAATAGGGCTCATAAATAAAAGCATCCAATTTGGTTGCGACTGAGTCGGAAAATGCTTTAGGAAAGGACGATGAGTTTTCAAAACACGCAAAAGACTTTAATGACCAGATGAAAGGTGAAACAATGCATTTAAATAGAGTCGATGGAACTCTTCCTCCACCAGGGCAGTTCTTCCGTATGGTCCTATGGAATGTATGGAAACCCTTACGAAAGACCATTTGACCCATTGACTGGTGGAAGTAACTGGTATCATTACGGACGAAGAAGAAAGACAGTCAAGTTGGAGACAGACGTGAAGAAAGCAACTAAAAAGAAACCAAAGGAAGAGAGTTATAAAGCAATGAATTCATGAGGTGAAAAAAGAGGTGAAAAAAGAGGTGAGATTTCACCACTTCACCTAAATTTATTTTTGCGCTATGTTTTCATACGTGTGAGGGTGGTGATATCATTAATTTTAAGTTTATTTTTTATTTTACTGAAAATTTTTATTTGGATGTAATGACAGAACAAAAGCAACTCATACAAATCAAAACATATAACAAACATACATTTAAACATTTATTCTTCCTTCCTGAGCATAACATGTTCTTTCAAATACATCCGAGACCAGTTGACTTTTCATTGACTGTGTATAAAGATAGAAATAGTTATATCATTAAACCATACGATGACGAAGGTAAGTTATGTAAATTGTACGTTAAGAAGTTAGAGAAAGTTTATGGCTTCAAGTATGACTACAATAGGGTTAACACTGATGAT